AATCTTGTTATAGTACTTACTATACAGAGGATGCAGGACTTCTGTAGGATTTCTTGTTCCATCTTGGCTTGTACAAGGATTTAAGTGAAGCCAGTAAATTCAAAATCTGCCACAGTAAATTCAGTGACTGGGTAGTTTAGATCTGCTTTTTGCACAAAAAGAATTGTGCCATCTTAGCATAGGTGGCCAACATGCTTTTAAGAAATCTGTCTCGAAGCCTCTGGTGCTCCATCAAAGAGCAGATTAGAGGAACAAAGGGATGAGTTTGTTAGTTTAGAAGGTGCAAATGGAGGGCAAGGTCTTTGTTCTCCAGCTTTGCTCTTTGATCTTTGCTCAATCCAGCAGATGCAGCATTAAATTAGATTAGAGACAACAATGTATTCATAGCCTTGAGGGTGACCAAGTAATAAAATAGTAGACTTAGATGCAGTGCACAACGAACTTTGAGAACTGAGTCTTATAGTAGGAAAAAACGACGACACTGTGTCCCTGTTGGGCTTGGTAATTCAAACAAGCTCTGCTGTTTGAGCAATCACACAATCACAGAATAACAGCTAAGGTTGGAAGGGACCTCTAGAGGTCATCTAGTCCAACCCCCTGCTCCAGCAGGGTTCCCTAGAGCACGTGGCACCAGGTGGGTTTGGAAGATCTCCAGAGAAGGAGACTCCACAACCTCTCTGGGCAGCCTGTTCCAGTGCTCTGTCACCCTCACAGTTAAGTTAATTTTTCCCTAAGTTCCTGCGGAACTTTTGGTGTTTGAGTTTGTGGCCGTTTCCTCAAGTTCTGTAGATGGCCACCAGTGAAAAGAGGCCAGCACCATCCTCCTCACTGCGTCCCTTGAGGTACTTATAGACATTGACCAGGTCCCCTCTCAGCCCTCTCTTCTCCAGGATGACCAGACCCAGCCTTTCCTCATAAGGCAGATGTTCCAGGCCTCTATCTTCAATCAAGCATTTTTGAAGCAGAGACTGTGTGTGAGGAGCAAACAGCTCACTAGCACAAGACAGTTCATGTGAGATCTAGTCTGAATTAAACCAAAAAAAAAAAAAAAAGACTGTGAACGACACAGTTGGCTGTTTAGACTGCAAAGCCAGAGGGGACCTTTGCAATCCCATGATGAGTGTGACACAGACCAAGGAGCCTCCCCCAGCGCGCACTGCCTCCCCCCAGCTGTTTGATCCGTGAGAGATCCACAGGCAGAAGTAGCACGACTGGACTTCTGAGTATTGTATTTTATACAAATAAAACTTCTGTGACAGACCACGGACACAAACAAGATCACCTGAGGCTCAACTCTTTAGACTATTTATGGCTTGCCATTCTCACTGGTGTTATTTAGTCCAGTTTTAAGCAATTTAAATGGCAATGGGCTTGATTCAAGTGTTATTACAGTACCCTTAAAGCAATCATTTAACCAGCTGCACTTCTGTAAAACCAGAACAATAAGGCTGGGAATTTAGGCTGTCTCCGCAGTGTATCAGAGCAGAGCAGAGAGGAATCCTTGACTGGATAAACTAAAGCCCTTGCTTAAGCCTACCCACCAGAAAAGCAGTAAAGCCATGGCCGTGTTTTTTTCCCATTTATCCCATTTTGTGTTGATTTGGCACCGTGTTTGGTTGCATCCTGTGCCACGTGCTCTAGGTGACCCTGCATGTGCAGGGGGTTGGACTAGATGATCTCTAGAGGTCCTTTCCAACCCTAATGATTCTCTGATGCTACAATTCTATGATTCCTCTCTGCACCTTACAGAGGAGGCCATGGGCTCCGTGTTCCCCTTCAGTCGTCGCTTCCCCACATGCCTGTACCAAAAAGATTAACAGGATGGTTGAAATTGGAAAGGACCTCTAGAGATCATCTAGTCCAACTGCCCTGCTCCAGAAGAGCTGAAGGAGGCAGCGAGAAGGGTCCTGATTCCCCTTGGCACACAGGCCCGTTGAGAACATTTCTGTTCCCTTGCTGTGGTTCCACTGGCAGCTCCCTCAGGATAACTTTGGGGAAGCGAACAGAATAGCTCTTTTACCACCAACTATTTCCAAATTATATTTTGATGAAATGTGCTGCCAAGTATGTGTACATGACCGCTGCTTTGGCATCAAAAAAAGCTGGTGGCAGCCTGTGAGCCGTTGTTCTTTTTATTTAAAATAAGCCTTTCAGTTCAGGAGCCAAAAAATGCTTTTGGGGAAAGCTTTGAAAAATCATAAAAGAAATCCAACAGCTTACAACATTTTTCCATTGCCCAGCGACTCACATAGCAGAATAGATTTTTTTTTTTTTAACTAATCCTTAGCTCCAGAACATGGCACCTTGTGCTATCAAATGATGTATGATTAATAATTCACTTTTTAACTTCTATTGTTACTTTAAGGCATTTATAGCCTTGCACTCTTCTGCGTACTCTTTCCTTGACAATAGGAGTGTATCTCCAATCCTTGCATTAGCAATCTGTAGAATTTCTCAATCTTCATTATTTCTTCTGTCCTTCATTTTCTTAAAAGTTTTCCAAGTAGCATGAAATGGGACACAAATCATTCAACCTACGGGCATGATAGCACCAGAGCAATATGTTTGCCTTCACAAATCTCTCATCTAGGTCAGCCAAGGCTGCGTTTCTACTTTTAATATGGTTCAAGGATTTCAGTAATTTAAATTATTACAATATGCACCTGAATAGGGTTTTATTCCTGAGACTGTGAATCCCAATATCGTCTTTTCACTTTCAGAAATAATATCACGTAAGTTATGCACTTGCCATTCACTCAGAACAGGCTGATCTTTACTGAAAGGCATGTGGAGGAAGTAGGCATCTGTAGTCCATCACTTGCAGATGGCACCGTGTTTTGACTGTGCCCAGGCTCCGCCAGCAAGGGCCACCTGTCTAAATGAGGCCATCGCTGCAGGAGAGGGTGTTGCCAGTCCATCTGGCAGCGGAAGGGGGCCTTTCGGGTGACCTTTCAGGGCCAGCACTTTGATTTGCCAGTAGCCAGGATGGTTGCTCATGGACTATGCAGGTTTTCACAGAATCCCAGAATGGTTGAGGTTGGAAGGGACCTCTAGAGATCATCCAGTCCAACCCCCCTGCTCCAGCAGGGACACCCAGAGCACGGGGCACAGGGTGGTGTCCAGGCGGGTTTGGAAGATCTCCAGAGAAGGAGACTCCACAGCCTCTCTGGTTTTCTGCCCTCTGCTTTGTGCTGGTGTTTTGGTGGTTTTCATGTGGAGTTTTTTTTTGTATGATTTTACCCAAATAGGCTAAAACTAACTCTGTTACTTCTTTAGAGAAACCTAATGGCTTGGCCAGGTGTTAAAATTTTTTTTTAAAGTTCTTATTCCATTTTGATTATTTTATTCACTCATGATCAGGCTACCTGATTGCGCTGGTGTGTCTCATGAGAGAGCTCCTCAGCAGGTACCTGGAGGCAGCACATGCCTTTCCATGAAGATCCAGGCCCTACTGACTTGCTACATATTTAAATCTTTTAGCAGCAAAAGAATCTGGCTAACTGGCTAATATTCCATTTCTTTTTTTGCCCTTCTGAAAGAGAACATTTTGCTGTCTTTTTGCTTCTATAGATCTTTCCCAATGTAGTGTTTAGTATAATTGCCACAGGTTCCCAAATTTCTTCATTACATCTCCTAAACTCTTAAATTGGGGGTACATGTATATTCAGTTTGTTCAGATGTCCTTTCACCATCTTTCTATTCAGTCTTCATTTCTCCAGTTGAGTCTAGCAATTTCTCTGAATTTTCCTGTAAAAGATTCTTTGATGTTCTCCTTTTCATTACTCATTTTATAACCAACTGAGCTAAACTGGTATTTAAAATCTTGGTATTTTGTTTAAGTATGATGCAGTATATTTTGTCATCATGGAAACACAGCTTCCAAAAACAATTTACATTTTTGCTGTGGTCTTGAATGGTAATGATAGTTCTTTCACTGACAGACTGGGCTGTTTGACAGTCTGGTATTATTTTTATCCAGATTTTTTCAGGAAGTTGGCAAGAGGGTATGCTGGAAATCAGCTCTTCAGAATCTCTTTCACTGAAATTGGTGGTTAATCAGCACTGTCTGTAATTCCTGACTGTTTCCCTTACACAGCAATTGAATTCAGTATGAATTGCAAATGAAAGGAATCTCAACAGCAGGCAGTTGTTCAGCATATAGAGTTGAACTAACTTTGCTCTGTTTTGTAACATTGCAGAAAAATATAAAATATTCTAGGCCCTTGCCTAAGATTGATCACAAGTTGCATGAAGTGCTTTTTTTTCTATTCCACGTTGTAGATAAAAGAGGCAACATAATATCAAAAACATCAATACCAAAACAGGTAGTTTTGAAGACAGGATTTAAATAATTTAACCTTAATATGAATCTTGTAAAGCAACTAAGATTGGGCTGTCCCAGGTGAAGTCTAAAGGTCTGAGTAGCTTCACAATATGTTTGTGCTTCGCCTATTCATGTTCCTCCCCTAGACTTGCATGGCCTAGAGCATAAGAAAGAAAAAGCTCAAATTTACTCATTCCAAGTGTCCCAAGGGCTATTTCTCTGGCCAAGATTAACCAGAGCTAACAAAGCAGCTATTTACACTAGGAGCTCTGACATGGCTAGGGGCCCTTATTATTCCTGCTCTGTGCAATCTAGAGAATTTCTCTTGGCTGATTATATTTTCCGGGAAATAATTCCACTTATTAGCCCTCTATACATCACAGAATTGAAAGCATCTTAATTTATGGCCTCTGCTGCAAAAACTTAACTATGCAAAAACAACCTGTATATTATATGTCTATAGTACAATATTTTGTAGTATATCAAGTTACAATTTACCAAGACCCACAGGAGAACAACTATATTATTAAAGCCTTGATGTTGAAAAATACACACTACTTGCTACGTGTCAAAATAAATTAAGAAGCTAGTTGCAGATTTTCATTCTAAGAAACTCCTCGGTGTTTACTTGGTTTTATTTTCTTAACTGGGTTAAAAAAAAAGTTAACTAACTGGCTTAAATGTGTCTGTTCTGCTTTAACCTGGAATATTTTCTTAGAGTATTTTCAGAATGTCTTTGCAGTTCTTCAATGTGTGAGTTTAAACGGTCTTCAAATTCTTTGGTGTGCTTCTCTTCCTCTTGAAGGAACTTTTCTGTTCTTGCAAGGAGGGACATCTCAGGAGGAGGCTGAGCAGTGCACAGAGAGACACGGTTAGTAAAGAACAGCAAGTGCAGCAATACTTGCATTATGGATTTATAAATTTTAAAAGCATCTTAACATATATCAGCTATAAACTCCTATGTTTTATATCTCAGCATGCATGAATTTACATGAGTAAACAGGAGTTTAAGCATGCATTTTTAAAGTTGTTCAAGTGCCTGAATGACGTAATGTTCACATTAGCTGGGATATTAAGGGCATGAGCATGTAGATCTGCCTTTAAGCATTTCAGTGCCTTGTTAGACAAACTTAAACTGCTTCAGAACCACCAAAATATGCCTTGTTAGACTTAAACTGCTTCAGAACCACCAAAATCCTTAGATAAGGTCATGTTAAGATAAGGCTAGAAGAGAGTACAAAAGCCTGGTTTGGGGAATTACAGAATATATGTAACTAATACTGGGTACTGCCAATTGCTTCCTGTAACTCATGTCTCTGCCTCTGTTCCACCTCATGAGATACTTTTTGTGGAAAGGAAGAAAACTTGTGTTCATTGCAGTCCTGTCACTTGAAGCCCTGATATTCATACAAGAACAAAGATACTGAGAAAGATCATTTTCCTTGTTTGAAAAGATTTTTATCTTGACACCTTCTCAAGATACTGCAAAGATTATTAAATTTATTTTCTTAACAAAAGCATCTTAAAAAGAATTTCATTAACTTAATTGGTAGAGCTTGCACTCTTGACTCTCTGCTTTTGTGTTCCCTACAAAGTAAAAGGTGCAGCACATAAAATTGAAAAGACCTCAAATTATTTAAATATTCAGATGGTTTGTGGAAGGGCCAATTTTACAACACCTGTGAATTTTTATTCTGAGATTCATTGTATCAGCTCCAGAATGGGATGTTCCCTATTTCAAGAGCAACTAGAGGCAGATTCAATCTCTGCTTTCAGCCTGCCTTTAAACTGCCCTTTAGTAGCTTTTCAGGCCAAATAAATTAACTATAGAAATGCTTTAAAGTGTTATTCAACTCAAACTGTTTGCAACAGACCTTGAGATTGAATTTAGGGATTTCCCTTAGGAAAAATCCCTTATCTTTTTGAAAATAAAAGTGATCAATAGCCAAAAATAAATTCTGTATATAATATTGTCCTGTATATCATATACTGGATATATTACAATTTTTCTCACATATCAAGTTAAAATGAGATAAAGAGAGAAAATAGAATTTTTCATTTCTCAGCCCCTCCACATTAGTGCTTTAACAGGGGACAAAGAAAAAAAATGTCTTTTTTTTTAATGGAGGCACAAGAAGCATAAAGTATTGGATCACGTTGCTGTACTACAGTGTCCTGCCCTATCAATCCCTGCATTGGCCAGGAAACGTTTATCTGCCCATGTTTGGCAAGGCTCTGGGAGAGATCACCTGCCTCATGTTCTACCTGCTGAGCAGGTGCATGATTTCCCAGCCATAAATCACTGTTGTTTTCAGAATAGCTGTTCCTGAGGTTTTGCCTGCCACAGGCACATTTGCTCTTTCATGACTTGTGGTCACATAAATACTTTCTTGTCGCATTTGGATTCAACATTTTGAACAATGAAGAAGGCTTTTGTATTATGAAGAAGACATAGGATATGGAGGCTGGACTCCCTTAAAGAATCACCATACATTTCACTTATTCAATACAAGCTCTGAACTCACTGAGTCAATACTGAGCAAATAAAATGCAGTGAGATCATAGGGAGCATAAGGACAAATATGCATCTAAAGTATGGATTTCACAGGTGCCATCTCCTATAGAAAAAAGCATGCCAAGCATTTCCTTACTGCCAGCAGGCTGAAATGGATGCTAAGTCCTCAGAAATGTTATATCCAGTTATGAGAGATTCGCAGAGATTCCTTACCACAATGTTTACAATTGCTGACTTGTCTTTAGGAACATACTAGAGTCACCATCAAGCCATCTGCAAGAACACTGGTATCCTTTGCTTCAGTTGTACTGACTGTGATGTGTTTTTCTTGAAATACAGTGTCAGCCCCAAATGAGACACTTCTGAATTTCCTCAGAGATGAGAGAAGGGTATCTATCACATACAGCAAGTAAACCAGGGTTCCTTTTTGTTTCTTACCTGTGTCAGACATCACTGACTACCTTTTTATATAGGTACTTAGTTCACTGTTTTTCATGTACTTTGAGAGAAAGCTGAATCTAAACCCAAAATCTAAAAGGCAAAACTTATTAGGGACTAAGCTCTGCTTTCTAAAACTCTGGCCTATTCTTTCCTGAAGTTCAATATTCAATTCTGTATTACTTCAATACCTGAGGAACAAGAACTGTCTAAACTGATCTCCTCGTGGCCCCATGAATTTGTGGTGGCACCTTCTGCAAGGCAGCTCGACAGCATGAACGCTCAGGCCATTCCAACCTCTAACAGCTGGATCATTCTCACAGAGCATGAGAGTTACAAGCTGAAGTTTGCTCATGCTGAGTCCCTCCTCTTTTACAGGAAAATTCTGCTAACGCCAAGGTTAGACATTGGTCTAACTAATTTTAGTCTCACTGTGTCTAAATTGGGAGGTTTTTTTGGTTGGTTTCCTCTAGCCCTACACTTCCCCAGGTGCACCCTACAGCTTAGGCAGCAGATATAGATGTCAATCTTCTCAGAAGAATGTGCTTCAAATATGAGCACCTAAACCGAGGTGCCTAAGAAACTTTCAGGCCCCATGGGAAGGTGTTTAGAAGGCCTAAGCACATCAGAAGCAGCTGGGGAATACTTAAGAGGAAGAGGCACGAGGTGACTCAGAGTAGTATCAAGATGGTCAGAATCATTCTTGATAATGTCCAACAGTAGAATTGCCACAATTTTCTATTACAATCTACTACTTATGTGATTCTCCATCCTTTATATTAGAAAGTTTCCTAACACCTTATCTAAATCTTCCTTGTTAGTGCTTAAGTATTTTACTTTTTGTCTCACCAAGTCATTTGAAGAGGCATGACAAGGTATCCTGTGACTGTAAGTTAAAAATCTAGACTGAGAAGCACAATGTTTCAGCTCTAGATTTTTTTCTCTGAAAGAATTGTATAGAAATGGACTATTCTGGAACTGCAATATCTTAGTATATTTTGATTTCAGTTTTATATATTTTCTGCAGGAAAGATTAAACTTGATGCCAGGGCAATGGACTTAATGAATAGTGTTCCCAGAGGACTTCAAGCAACTGTTCTCTGAAATTGTTCATTTCTGGAAGAAAACACACTCTGAACTACTGTTCAGAAAACAAATATGCACCTGTATTTTGGAAAATTTGAAACTGAAGCTTGAGAGTTGGGGATTCTCCAGTGAATCTCACCTGAGGTTTCCCGTTCACTCTATTGGTGGCTTTAGTCTTCTTTATACATGTAACCTCTAAGTAGGAATGTAAAGAAATAGAGGTTCCAGTGAAACATTTACTAACGTAGTTTGAAGATCTCTGTTGGAAAAAGAGACTAAAGCCTTTGTTTAATGCCCTAGAGGCCATTTTCTTTCTTCCCCAAATACCTTACCAATAAAGTATTTTGGTAGATGTCAGCAGGTCACCTTCAATTTCAATGTTTTCAAGTGGTGCTACAAATATTCTTCAGAAAGCTCATCCTCTGTAACATCATCAGGAGTTCTGAGCAGTCAGGGAATCTGATTTCATAATTTTATGATTTCCATTCATGCAATGGCTTCCTATCAACTTGGAACGTCAGAGTGAGAGAGTGATCAATGGGCTCTGTACTAATGCTGCGGCATTCAAAGACAGTCTGAGTAATGGCTGAACTATGGTGACCTTCTGGACTTGCACCTGGTTCAGGGCCGCTTATATGGAACTAGTCTCGGTAAGAAAAATATCAGTTTTTCTTATCATTATGTGCCTTGCCCATCCACTAATTGGAAAAGTGTTTTCTTCATAGTCTAGTCAAATGATTTGGCATGGATCATGTCTTGAGCACCAGTTGGGATGCACTTTCCCTGGAGCTTGCCAAACTATCTTAGCATGGGCAGTTTCCCTGGACTGGCTGGAAATGGAAACTTTGTAGCCTGCTGTCTCTGTCTGACACTTCTGAGAGAAGAGGGGATGAGAAGTGGCATTTAACAAGCTCTCCTGGAAAAGCCCAAACAATTACTTTTGTGGTAAACAAAGAGGAAAATTCCTAAGCCATAAGAAAACATGAGATAGTTTTGCGAAGTTATATTTTTGTGAAGAATATAAAAATTGTATGAGGTGAAAGATCTAGGACTATCTCTCTCTGCTCTCTGATTACTGAGACCCTGCTCCTTGTCCACAATCAGGAAATAGCTGCATTATAATCCCTGCTTTGCAGGGCAGGCCCTCACTATGGTGCTGCTGATGAGGACAATATTCCAGAGCCATGTCTCCCATAGGAAAAGCTGGCACATTTCTGAAACGGGTAGTAGACCTCGGGAATGACAACTGCAAGTTCCTTGAAGAAGCTGATGACTGTTGGCATAATGATGTCTCTTCTCTCCTACTTAAAGCGACAAATGGGAAGAAAATTGCCAACTGCTTCCCCTTAGGTAAATGCTGAAGTACAGTCTTCCCTTGCCTCTCTTTGCAGACACTGGACACATACCTAGTTCAGGCTCTCCTGGTACAAAGATTTATAAACCACAGCTGGACAGAGAGATGGCTACGGTCCATTCCTCACTATCCTGTTAGCTGCTTTATTTAAAGATGGTGCAGTTGCATGGTTTGATGTTTGGGAAATACGTGCTAAAGTTTCAGGCGGAAAGGGCTGAACTGTAGGGGTGCCTAGGGAAGAATAAAGGATACTAAGGAAGAGGCTAACACTCGAATTTAAAGACAGGTGGAGTCAGAGACTTCTGCAGAAATTTTTCTAAGTGGCCATAGATGAAGAAGGATCTATTCTACTAGACTTGGAGATTGCTAATCTCCATCCCATGAAGAGTGAAGGAAAAATGATGCACTGTTATTCTTTCATTTCAAGAAAAAAAAAAGAATTACAGCAGTTATTGCTTCTTTCATTTCAAGGAAAAAAAAAAAAGAATTACAGCAGTTATCACTTCTGTTTGGTTTTGGATACCATAGCTAACACATAGGAAATCTTTGCTGGAATTTCTCAATTTTCATCCATTAATCTAATGCTGTAGAAACTTAATTTGTCTGGCAGTGCATTATGTTACTCAAGACAGTAAGTTTGCAGGTATTATGGAAAGACACTTAGAGCAGAGTGCCCAGACTGAAAGCAACCAGCTAAAATGTACGAGTTTCCACCACAACTACATAATGGCAGGTGATTATCACTGCTAGTATTATTATGGAGATATGGCCCAATGGGGAGTGTTTAATCTTCAGAAAAACTGCATTTACATTAGGATATTTCTGCTTTTGCTGGGCTGACATTGTAGTAATAATAAGGACATGGCTAATGTAATTACTGTAACTCCTAATGTAACTGGCTAATGTAATTCCTCCACATTTGTATTTTTCCCCACAAATGGATCTTTGACAGTATCTGTGTTAAATGAAGAGTTACTTACTGATAAGTTGCTATCTTCTGTGCTGTAAGCATGGCCCAGTAAAATGCCTGTTCTACCTTCTTCAGGAGGCAGCCCATCAGAGCACAAAGGATATCCCGCTGGTGGTGCTGGAGATTTTCCATCTAGTTCCTGGTCATGGCCTCTATCAAGTTTATGAGAAGTGCTGCCACATTTTGACCCAATGATATCACCTTGGCCATATAAAGTAGGGCTACAGTTCCTGTGGTATCTACCAGCTGTGACCATAGCAGTCTGTTGAGATTTCATTTGCCATTCATCTTCATTTTGGAAAATCCTAAAATAGCAACAGAAATATGAAGTCAAAGTTTGAAAACCAGTTAAAACTACAAGCTATGGTAGCAAAGCCACTTCTTTTTTGTTCATTTATATAATTTTGATTAGTCAGATGTTCATTCAAACTGCTTCAAGCATCAAGTTATGGGCATAAGATTGTACTTCAGAAAATTGCAGCAATTTAGCAAGTTGCCTCCTGCCAGCTAGTTAATGTAAATGTCTGGCTGTACATTCTCTGTCTGCTTCAGTTGTGACTGAAATTATGCTCCTTTAAACCCTTTCAGTGGAGCTTAAGCTGACTAACCTTGATGTATAAATGTGGTAGGATAACAGCTGAAACCAAGATACACTTCAGGGATTTGAATAAATCAATGTTCCTCACCTATTCATTGCCAAAGGTTATCACCCCTTTAGCTCTTCAGTGGGAGAAGAGATGTAAACACCCTTCAGATATGCCTTGACAACTTAGTTTATGGTATAATAGGGTATAAGAGTGAACTTAGCCACACAAATACAAGGAGATGAAATAAGAAAATATTTTCTTATTAACTGAGACAGAAAATCATTATTAGTGGTCTAAATAATGAGTAAATTTTGATCTAACTATATCTTAGATATGTTCAAAAGGCTAGAATGTAAAATACATGTTTAAATAAAAATTAAATAAAAAACAGTAGAGGAGACTTTGACCCTGCACTTTTGCTTCCAACAGTAATTTAGTCACAGAATTAATGAGAACACAATGGAGGCTAATGTAAAAAATCAAGCATACTTAAAATACATTTTTACCTGTGCAAGAACATGTTCTTGTAACAATAATTGAAACTTTCCAGACTGCAAAAGTATTTGAAAGTATTTTATAACATTGTTCCACAACCTTGCATCCTGCTTACAGTGATCACAATGGAGGTCAAAGCATATTTGTGAATTCATTAGTAGTTTGTCAAGCAAAACCTGTTACGTTTAACTGCAGCTTAAGGAAGGTGAGCCATTTGTTTCCCATTCAAGATTTCTTTTTCTGACAGTAAACTCAACAATTCTGAAACCATATTGGTAAAGAGCGGAGAATTTTGAGACCGGCTTGCCCAGATGTTTGTTGAATTAGACTATTTCCTAATTGCATCTTTACTTGCATTATATATCAAAAACATACAAAACAAGAAGATTCAGTTATTTCAGATTCTATTACATTCCTGTTAGAATACTTCTGGCTATAGTAAAAATTCCCATTGTACTGAAATCTAGTTGGAGATAAAAGAGAGATTTTTAATCTTGGAAGGTATTTAATACAGCATACTGAATACAACAGCTGTTTTAAGCCTACTCTATATCCTATCATTTGAAAAGATCCTAAAGCACTTTACTAACATGAAATGCAGACATAAAAGCTTTTGAAGACCAAGTTCACTGCCACTAAAATACAGTTGTTATGAATATTCAAGCATTGCTTGCTCTGTTCCAGGGAAACCAATAATAGTAATAAACAAAAGCCAAGCACAGAGAAAAAGGGCATTGCTTTCTTCAGAAAGATCACACCATCTTTTTCTAACCTTAGTTTAAATATTTACTGCTGGGAGAGGTTAGCTGTACAGTTTTAATGGATACTGCTTATACAAGAGCTCCCTGCTCCTAAAACTTGGGGCTGAATGAATACTACATAAATGAACAGTGCAGAATAGCTCAGAGATGTAATGAAGAATATATTTGATTATTTAAAAAGTACTGATTAAAATAGTCTGAATGTGACAAGAAAGGAAATTATAAGCATGACACTATCCTGATAATATAACTATTAGTGTTATTATTCATTGTAAGATAAAAGTCTCTGAGAAACCTTTCAGACTTTAAAGTCATCTGTTTACCTTTTCTTGGGCAGAATTTTCTTCTTTCCTTCTTGCTCTTCATTAAATAAATATTCTTGGCTCTTTTGGGCACAGAAGAAAATCCTTTATTTTCCATCTATTTTAAAGTCCATTCTGTCTATTGTTTGGGTGAAGAGCAGCACTAAAAAAATGCCACGACTGAAGATAAATGGCATGAATAATAAAATCACAGACTTTTTTTCATCCTGTCTTCTGACCTTTCTGGAAGTAATTTCCTCTGTAAACCCACAGCAAAATGTTACGTGATCTGTGTGTGTGTGTTTTATTATTATTATTCCAAACTTGGTTCTCTATATATCTAATAACAGTTATTGCTGTGGTTTTATAGCTTACTTCACTAAGACCAGCATTTTCAAACGCGCTTGCCTATAGCTATCATGGCTTTTAGATGGCAAAGGCAGAACATACACTTGAACACACACACCCCCCACCACAAAAAAGGTGACCTGATTTTTTAAGGGCTCTACTTTTCCTGCTATAGCCCCTTGGACAGCTGCTGCTGCTGGCTATCTTGGAAGAACATGCCACCTACGTTAGGGTGCTTCGATACGGTGTTTTCTTAAACAGATTTCACAGTTTGGGTTTAAATTTCTGCCAGTTCAGAGCAAACTAATACCTAGAAACAGAGTTCTGGTCTGAATGCAAATGTGAATGTCTGCATTTTTCTTTTTTTCTTAATATGACCGTTTGTTAGCACTGGCAATGCAGATTCTTGGCAACTGTGGCTGCATAACTTAAGATTTTCCTGTGTTTACCTTCATAGAGCATTTATCATATGCACACACTTCACAAAGATAATGTCACTGTTGACATGAAGACAACGTGGGACAAGAAGTGAAAGAGCTATAATAGCCTTGCAAAAGGAGTTTACATAGGTAGAACACATTAATCCCAACTCTCAAATGTGGAATCAGCCTGATCCTTCTGAAATCAATGACTTCAGCGGCACTAACCAAACTCCCAGCATAACTTGTGTTGCTTAACATGCCTCTTCTTGGAACTTTAATGAGCACAGCGTGCTCAGAATTAGTGTTTTGCTTTTGCCTGGTAAGTGTAACTTGATTTAAAAACAGAAAAGGGCTAAAAAGTATTTTTCTGAAGAGACTTTTTGCTGCTTATAGTTCATCTGTTGCAATAACGGAGACCATGCTCAGTATGCCTGAGGTGTGTGACCTCCAGAGAGGGGAAAACCTCCTTAAAACACATATGTCACGCAGGACCCTTAGGAGATCCCTGCCTACCTTATCGGCCTGTTCCCAGGCCTTACCCCTCACTTTTGCCAGGTGATCAAAGTGCACTTTGCCTTGGCCAGTTACCTGATTTGTATATATGTTTATTATAATGAAGTAACCTTTAATTTGGAAACTCAGTTGCATGTTTGCATTTCCAAAAAAAAAATACATCTGTTCCCTCACGGAAAACCCTTTTCAATCCTGCCAAAATTCAAAACTACTCTCTGTGGCTATGCTGTAATTGAGGGATGAAAACTGCGGGGGTAGTGTATTAATATGACAATTAAAAATAAATCAATTATCCTACGTGCAAACAGTAATTAAACTGGCTACAGTTAGGATGTGGGCACAACCACTTTCAGCAAAAAGGTGCTACTCCTCCATATGCTACTCTGCAATATTTAGAAACTCTCTGTATATTGAAAGAAAGCAGAAATGCCCCTGAATCACCAATATAACCGTTGTCTGTCATCTCCTAAACTTTCTCTAGAGGTCTCCCACCTAATTTATGACTGTGCCCATGCCTCAGACTCCAGTGCTGGTGGCGATGACGAGCCTAAGAACAGGACAGCACACAGTTAGTTGAGGACTAACCACTTCATTGCACTACTCCATTGTACAAGCACTTCTAGGTTTCTGAATACAAATGGCTAAAACAAAAAGCATCTGGAAATTGCCATTTAAAACACAACTCTGAATCCCCCTACATGAACACCACGACTTTTTTTACTACATAAAATAAGTGTTTTTTGCCCTTTCTCCAGTACCATAATTACCATGGAAACCGAACTGCAAATTAAAACATAAAAAACAAGGTTTATACTCACTAAAAAACCAGAACATACCCCAAAGTTAAATTCAACCAAAACAATCACCTGCATTACCTGCATACATTTGATGCTAGGAAATTTAGTTGTCTGAGACAACCCTGCTTGGAAATGGTTAGATAACAGCACATAGAGGGCTCAGGCTCGAAAAGACTGGCAGGCTGGTGTGTATCTAAAATGCATGCAGAATTTGCACAGTTTTTAAAAGCTGTATATATGGTTATGGTAACTAAATAGCCTTTAATTTAGGAACTCAAATGCATGTCTAGATCCTGAAAAAACAGGCTCAGCACATCTGTTCCATCAGTGTATGGGCCATCATGCCCCTTAGATTCATGGATGATAATGACAAAAAGTCCTCTGCATCTTCAACAGCCCAATCATTCCTGTTTTCAACAGCCACAAATACTTTTTCCCCTCAAACCTAAGCAGGCAAATAAAGAGGGATTAATGCAGAATCTTCTTTCACTGTTGGCATATTTCTGGCTAACTTAAGTCTTCCTGATTTAAAAGGCTCTCAGTTGTGTCTATTGACCTCTAGCTTTGCATTTTTAAAATCTACTGAAATGCAGCACAAGTAAGTAGTTGAAACAATACTTCAAAAATGCCCAAACTCACTTTTCTTTGAAGTAGTTAATATTATTAACTAGAATCATGATTTAAAGTGTGTTCAGTAGCGCAGCTGAGTTTCTGCTCTGAGGAACAATGTTTGGCTCTCCAAGTTTTGGTTTAATGGTCTTTGATGATCAAAATTCTGTACATTGCCCCCATACTTGTATTGTCTGTTACACTTAAATTCTCATGAGTAATTTTGTAGGTCCTTTTGTACAGTAATTCCTTAGAAAATTGGGAAAATTTTACTTTTTCTTACTTAAGAATAGTGAAAGCATAAGCACAAACTTGCCATTCCCATACATACATACACACTTACAAACATGCACACACAAATAGTACCTAAAATTACTAAAAAGTAATTTCAGGCAAGACTGAGCCAATAGTGGATGACCTTTTATTACTCAGAAAGAGAATCACTTTACTTTTTGTCAACTCTAAATGTAAATCTGATCTAAATGTTCAAAATCTTATCCTCTACAATTTTTGGCTCCGAATCATTTAAACTTTGCTCGACAGAGCTTTTTTACATTAGTGCTATATATTATGTAATGACAAAAATATTTCATTTTCTATTAATTTTACTCTCCTGGTCTGTGTAAAACACATTTAGTGGAGATTTTAATTTTCTTATTATTACTGCAGCACCATGATTATAATGTGTTTGAAGGTAATTCAATGATTCACTGAATACAAGGAATTAAGAAGGAAGAGCATAGCCACAATATGCTTTCTGTGATCACGAATATTGTTAATTCTCATTATTTTTCCCTAAAAAAAAGAAGTTTAATGTGATAATGATTTTTCAGGATAGCTGAAATTATGTTCATTTTAAAAATCAGGTCAGCCAAGAACACCAGACTTAGAGAACGCATTAAAACACATTTAAGGAAACTCCCAACAAATGCAACTAGCAGGCCACAAAGCTTTTCTGTAGTTCAAACTGCTTATTAAGATAACCTCCTGCAGAGCAGTTTACCTCTCATGTTGGTTTGTATATCCTTCATTGTCTTGTTTTTATTTAGCAGTAGAAATATATTCTGGTTTGCAAAACTTGGAGCAAAGATTAACTTAAACAAGCAGCGTATGTCTATTTTTAAATGCTTAATATTAGAAGTATTAAAATAATAATCAAATATTTCTTGGGCTTTACTTATTGCCAAATTCAGTTAGCTAAAAATAAGTAAAAATTCTTACAAATATACTAAGTAAGTGATCTTTATTATAGAATTCAGACACAAAAAAGGAAGTGGAAACCTGTACTCTTTGTTGACTTATTTACTGAGAAATGATTATAAGATTTTGAAATCAGATAAATCTTTTCACATTGAACTAGCTGACATACATATGTTGTAATTAATCTCTCCTTAATCTAGCTACTTCTGATTCAATCCACCATGCATGGTTTCCACACAAAGGGGCCAGTTTGTAGCCATCCAAAATGAGGTGTATAAAGGTTCATGGGCATCTAAGCGGATTTTTTCTTTTTTGCACATGTTCA